ACTAAATTGTATTAATTGTGATAATGGGTGCCAGCGTTCGCGCTGTCTCTTTCCTAATTTCGAGTTTTGGTTGTCATATCAAAAGGGTAACTTTTTCTTTTTAGTTAAAACTTTGAATAAGATTTCATTTTTGGATGAATATAAAAGAATTTTTGATCAATTAAATCAATTTATTTTGTTTAGTTGCATCATTTAAATCCAAACTTTCATACATCAAAGTATTAATTATTCTATCTGGAGTTAAAAAAAACTCACCAATAGGAGTGCCAACTTTAAGAATATATGTATTGTCATAACATGGTATTATCTTGCACATTTGACAAAAGAGTTGCATTTTGCATCTATTTAGGTGTATAAGATTAAAGGAAAGCTTGACGGCTATAAGTTCCAAGCATCTGTTGGAAGCAAGGTCGTGTAGGAGGGTGTACGAATGTGAGACTCCAAACAAGGGCAATAATTTTGTGCCCCTGAACTTTTTTGGAGCCATATTATATATTTATTTTGCCAATTTGCCGATTCCCATTACGATTGCAAATCTTCAATCCCTTCTCTCTAATATGTATTTAACGATTAAACTCTCTTATCGGCTAGTCCTGTCCATCTTTGTATCCCCGGTGGCTAATTTTATAATTGAAGCACCAAGTACGACCCTATTTAATAATCTTCCACTTTCTTGTTCTCCGTTTCTTTAATTTTTTTTGTTCGACGAGCAACCTATCCTGCAATTTCCTCACTTCTTTATCATGATATTAATCGCCATTGTTGAGAGCACTATAGCCTTTTGAAATCATGCACCAAAGTTGAGAGTCAAGGGAGAATTCGACCCTAGGGCGTCTTGAGAACTTGAGGTAAACAACATTGGTAACCTCTTATATATATTAACCTTTCAATTTAAAGACTCACCAGATAAAGTTAATTATGAAGAACCTATTGAAGATCTTGTTTCCAACAATGTTAGAAAAATCTATCCATGTATCTATATCTATATCTATATCTATCTATATATATATAGAGCTTGGTTCAAATACTAACCAAGATTTTTGTGTTAACTTTGTTAACCAATCTTGGTCATTGATTATTACAATAAAGGGTTGTGATTAATCATGAGAAAAAATTAAAATTTTAAATTTACAATTTCAAAGAACACATGTGAACAAAGGGGAAAAGGGTATTTAGGTAATTTTCTTTTTTATGTAACTCCCATATCATTAATTGGGAGTTATAAAATCAAAAAATCTTATTATTTTTATTAATTTATATTTGTTAATGTAAGAACCATATGAACACACACACACACATATATACATACATATATGAACCATTGTGTCAAATACGGACAAAAATTGACATATATATGAACTTGGACTGTATAACATTTATGAACACAATATGAATATAATAAGAATAGTTGTTACACGAAAGTAAATAAATAAAAAAAACAGGTATGAACACAATATGAACAGTTTGTGAATAATAGTTCCTTCATTATGAACACATTCAGGAGCAAACCAATGTTGAGATATGCAATTAGTGTACATATGAACACAATATGAACAGTCTGTGAACAATAGTTCCTTAATTATAAACACATTCAGGAGCAAGCCAATGTTGAGATATGCAGTTAGTGTATATATGAACACATTATGAACACTTGTAAACAATTGAGTATTTCAAATTCTTGCTTCCTTATTCTTTCTAGAGACACGTCACTCATCTCCAATATTCCAATAATTTAACTCCAAACTTTTCATTTGCTCTGGTATGTCATCACCGTCCTCAATCTCCATCATAAATCGGACTCGGCACAAGTTCTTCAATCAATCACTAAATCGGCCTTCAAGATTTCATGTTCATATTTTTCTTCAACAATCGTCCTCAATCTCCATCATAATCACCACAAGTTCTTCAAGATGAGTTGTGTGGTCAGATTGTGAAACTGTTAAAAACAAAGTTACTGGGGTTAAAAATTAGAAATTGAGATAAGGTCAAACTAGCTTGCTGCTGGAATATGAAATTTTCCCATTGGGAAGAAGGGGTGTAATGTGGTTAATTTTTCTGTTAAAACATTAGAATATGGTAAACCTCTTATTAATAAGGTAAATTAGTGCTAGGTTTTAGAGCACTTGAGAAAACAAGCATTGAATGAGCTACTTAGGCTATGTTTGGCAAACTGACAGATAAGATAAGCTAGCCGGTGACAGATAAACTAGCTAATTGTCGATAATTTAGCTGATAACTAATAAATTAACTAATGAACATATCATATTTGATAAAACTAGCTGATAAGAATGTAGAATGACCAAAAACGTATTTTGAAAAGTTAATCGATTATAACATTTTAAAATATAATTGAAACAAATCTCTAATAATATAATATATCAACTAATACAAACAAAATGATAAAAAAATTAAAAAAATAATATATT